CAAGCTTCCAGAAGCTTCTTGAAGCTCGCGACGCTGGCTGAAAAAAAGACCGGGCTGCTAGCTGGATGCTGGTGTCATCACTTGATGGAATCCAACAAAGGGAAAGGAGGAGAAAGCCTAGTCTCGCCGAGTATCATTCAAAATTCCAGGTGGGCAGTGTGGCCACACCACCCTGGTAGCCACATCCCAGAAGTCCTGCAGGTGACATGATGTTCGACTCCACACGAAACCACTTAGATACTGCAGGTGGCGGGTTTCGTACTTCGCATCTCTCTCGGAAACTCACTCCCAAAGGCCCCCGGAACATTCCACCGCATGTACCAGCAGTCACAGAGCGGAGCTCGGGGTCCCGGGTGCAGACTCCATGGAGGTAGTCGGGGTGCCCAGGACATCCACTCACTTGGGGATCAAACACCACCCGTACTTGTGACTCCTGGTATGCTCATCTTCTCATCTTCTCATCGGCCCTTACTTCCACCTGCTAACCAAGCTGCCACCGCACATCATCGGCTGCCGGAGTGACTCCAGCTGCCCCGCAGTTCTGTCGGAGCCCAAAGGGCTGCGTTCAGTTCCGTTGAGGTACGGCCCAAAACCGCTGCCTATATGGAATCCTAAGGATACCGAAAGGGCTCCGACTGAAGCCCACAAAGTCAATGCTTTGCGTCGCGTCCGACCGGCGGGAAATTGACTGGAGCCGATCGACATGCCACCTGCCGCAGCGTTTCGCTCGCCTTCGGCGCTGCCCTCAGACCGCTCGGCTGGACGCGCGAAGAATCCATTTTTACCTTTTCCTGCGCTCGACCAAAGCCCTTTGCCAATGGTCGGGGGTCTGTAGGATCCAAATCAAGACTCGGTGGCGCACCAAAGGTGGTCGTCTTCCAGATGAGTACTCTGACTAGTGGACAAAATGATGGTTTTATAGATGGTCACAAGTTGGGTGGTCTGCTACTACTCTGGGTAGTGGACGGAATGATCAAGGTTTTGTGATAGCCATGAACGACTTGGGTTGGCCCTAAAATAGTGTGTTCCCTGCTCCAAGACCAACCATGACCAGTTTAGTCGGTCCGTTGGTCGCTCAATAAAATATTGATCTTCGTAACCCTGGGAGAAAAAGGGCCAAAGAAAAGCAATAGCTCTTTGCTGATGTGGGGGTGTTGGTTCAATCTGAAGGTGTCTCCGACTAGTCGGGCTCAAGTGCCTGAACCCCCAAAGACTGCTCATGACTGCTCAATGGATTCATTGCACCAAACTCCTTGGTATGAGTGTGTATTGGAATAGGGACACCCCCATCAGCTTCCATAAAGTGACTTTGGGGAGTCCCCAAAGTAGCAGGCCCGACCACAAGCAAGGCACTGGTGCTAGCCAACGATCACTTGGAAGAAGCATGGTTTGCCCCAATGCGTTTCAGTCGGTCCTTCCTTAGTTTGACCCCATACATTGCTTAGGAGAAGAAAACTCATGTCGTTCGATTCATCGTGTGATCTGTCACAATCGATCCAGCGGGCCACCCAGATTCCCTCACAGAATACTGGGTGCCGGTGGTTTCGACCAACTCGGGTGATCTACCAAGAAGCGTTGAAAGTCTTATCCGGGCAGGGCCGGGCCTATAAAACAAAAGGAAAACACACTCGACTCGGCAGGGCGAAACAGGTTTGCGTATCAACTTGGTAGCCCAGCCCAGCCCGATGGCCAGGTTCTAACCCCTCCCCTCCGCTGTAAAACGGCGAACAGTTCAGCGCGGACTCCGCGGGGAGTGTCAGGATGATCCCAGACTTCCGGCTGTTCCGTCCGGATCTGAGGCGAGACATCAGAGCAGATTGCAAGTGAGACCTGGCACCGACGAAGAGCGACTTCCGAAAAAGATAAGCACGGCATGGCTGCGACATAGGTGTCTGTCTTAGAGTATAACATGCAGTTTTTATGTGTCCAAGTTGGCTCACGTAATATCAAGTTGGCTTATGTGCCTAATGTAGGATCACCCACAGAAGCACCCCAGACATGCCTCATGGCCCCTCAGACTGTATTGATATATCAGTCTCCAGCACTGGGCGAGTGGTTTGCTAGTTTACTCAATGGACTCACACCAAAAATTGCAACATACCGACCCTCAAGAGTGGTCCCCACCAAGGGCGAGTAGTTCTGAAGTGGTCGATCGAAGAAGGAGCGGTCCCCACACCAAACACTCTTCCCCTAGGGCTCCAAGTACCTCCTCAAAAGGTATGACTGGACCCTCTAAACCCACCCTAAACACCTTCTCACAGGGTCCTTAAAGAGCCCTAGGGTTCGTCTTGAACTTGTGATTGCCTGAGTGTCTTGGGGGATGTTGTGGGGTCTGTCCAGTCGCCACTCCTCGGGAATCGCCCGTCGCCGGTCGCTCAATCGGCCGTCGACCTTCAGATCGGTTCGTTCTGAAAGGGGAAGTCACAAAGGGGTGCCCTGTCTGGAAGCCGAACGGCTGGTGGTGTGGGGTAGTTCAGCCAGGACACCCCGACAGGAGGCTCCTGGTATAGACATATAGAAAAGACCTTTTCCAAGACAAGTTCCTCTGCAATGTTCCGCCAAATGGTCCCATGTTTGATGCGTCCACAGGTGGCCTTTCCTTGCGTCCTTGAAAATAAACGAGCTTACTTGCGTTTTTCTCAGCGTTCCCAGATCCCCACGCCTGACGATCAGCCTGTCCGTGCGAGGCCTTCTCATTCTTGATACCTCACCTGGGTTGTCCGAGTCGCTGCATCGTTGGATCTTGGGATGGAGTCATCCGAACGTCTGGAGGCAGGAATCAAAGTGGGTGGAAATGAAGCGATCGCCGCGATCGTGATCCCCAAATAGATAGTGGCACGGTGTCCGCATTTTGGGTGGGGATCTACGAACTTCTATCTATTTGAGGACCACTAGAAGCTGTCACCTATACAATTTAGATGCCCGGCCCCGAAGGTCCCAAAGGCCCTGAAGTTCGGATGTTCTTTTGGGGGGCCAATGGGCTGTTTCATCCAACGCATCAGGAGACCGTCATCCGGTCATCAGGAGCCGTAGAAACCTCGCCCGGGGGAAGAGGCATAGCGATCCCCAAACAGATAGTGGCATGGTCTTTGGGGAAACGGTGTCCAATCCTCAAAAATTGGATAGAAATCGATCTATTGTTCTATCATGTTCTATCTATTTGGGGTCTATCTCTACATACTCTTGGCACCCTTCCACGCTTCATCGACCTGCGTCTACGCCATGCACTGAATGCGGTGTACCAGCTGTTTGAGCAATTTCTCGTATGAGCACGTGCTGGTCCATACGGTCTTTGAGGTCCAAACCCTGACTTTCCCAACGCAAACCAGGAGTTCAAACAGAAGTGGTACAGTATCATAGAGATGTCCAACAACAAAAACTATCAACAACCCTTGGACTACTAGCATCAAATAAATGTTGCCCGAAGTACTTGTTCGAACAAGCGGCGTACGTCTCCTTCGAGGCATACATCTGTTCCACCTGCTTGTTGAAGGCCTTCTCCACGATGGGCCGCTTCAGCTTCTTCGTAGGGGTTAAGAAGCCATGTTCCTCTGAGAAGTTCGAGGGCAAGATCATGAACTTCTGGATCTTAAAAGCCTCATGGCGCCCCTCCGAAAGGAGGAAGAGATGTAGTGTTTTGTGATGAAAGCCCTCATGTCAAAGTGCTGGTTAGAACTTGAGCTCTCTCTTTTAAGCTCCAGGGCAACTGTTTGTCGGTTACCTGGATCATCCAATGGGTGTCCAATGGAGATCTATATGAGACTTCTGACATTGTGGACAGTGCGAGCTTGGCCCTCAGCCATGGGGATTGCTTTTTGATTAGCTTCTTAAAGACCAGTGTCTCACCTCTACACCTTCTTCGCCGATGGAACCACCTGACCTACTGTATCCGGCGGGAATGCACTAGCTGCGGTCTCCACTGGGCCCCTGACTAGTCTGATGAAATCCCATGAATTTGGAGCCGTCTTCGATTGGAGACGTCTTCGAGGATGTGGCTGTGATTCATGGCAACCTCTACGACCGGAAGCCCCTACACTACTAAAGGGACCTCCATTGGACACCCCTTGAAGGTCCAGGTGAGTTCATGTGAATCATTCGAGGTTTTCACATCAACGTTACGAGCCAACTGTGAATGCTTTGAGTCACAAGGATTGCAGGCGATTTACCAAGGTCCACAGAAAAAATACTGGTCACCTGCAAAATCACTGATCCCATGAGTCCCATGGTATTTGGATGTATTTGGATGTATGTTGGGGAAGTCCTTCACGTATTGAACACCTGCAGCCAGCGTTTAAAAAAGAGATTATCCCGGCAAGAACCCCTAACTGTGTCCACACTTGTTGGGGGGGGAAAAAAAAAATGTCTTCTGCACGACACGGCACGTTGTTGGGGCAGCACTTGCCGTTGTCGTTGGCCGCCTTGACGGCCTTTGTCACCGTGTCGATCCAGACCTGACCAGTTCGGCGTCACGTTTTACTCACGCGACGACGCGTCCAAAGAAGCAAGGACCCGCGGGGTTGGCGACCCAAACAGCGAGGACCGGCGGAGCCGATGTTGGGCACCGATGTTGAGCTGCCTGTTTGACAGAATTCGAAACGGCAGAAGCGAACGAAGACTCCGACGATAACGGATGGGTTCTGCTTCTGTCCCCCGCCCACAAGGCTCACACACCTTCGCTGCCAAGCCCACACAAGGCTCAACCCGTCCAAAGAAGGCCCTGGACCTATATATCACCCAAAAATCCTAAAATCACCTAAACAATCCTAAACATCCCAAATCCAGCACTACCATATCACCTTACCATCCTGACCAGTAGCACCTCCTCCAGTACCTGTAACCCCCCCCCCCCCCCCCCCCCAAGACTCAAGACTCCCCTTCCTCCAAACCCTTCCGAAAGCTTCCGCCTTGTCGTCCAGCGCCTGACTGATTTTGGTGACCTCGGGGTTCACTCGTTTGGCACCCGCGTCCAGGTCGTCGGTGCCTGGGATCTCGCCGTTGGCACCCACTGCCTGCACGGCCAGGGTCCCAGACACGCCCGGTTCGGTCGGTTTGGGACTGCCAAAGGACGGCAGAGATGGCAGGCCAGGGGTGGGTGATGTGTAAAGATGCCGGTCCCATCGGTCGTGCGTTGGGGGTGAAATGTGGGAGATGGAAGATGCAAAACAACTCCTCCTGAGGAGACGTGTTTTCAGAGCATCGGATGAGCTCAGTCAGAGAGATCCTCGCTTTGTACATGTTGCACATGGCTTGAACCAGACCACCGGTCAAAGGTTCAAGTATTCCTGATCTTCCACCGGTCCGCTCACTGTTCGCAAAACCGACGACATCGTCCTCGGGACCGATCGAGGCCACGACACCTTCAAAGTGATCAAGGCCACGTTGTACTTTCGCTTGTCGCCGATCATCATCACCTGCCACTTGCGACGATGTCCCGCGTCTCCCGCGTCTCCCGCTCGAGAGCGCCGCGGAGATCTCGGCCGCTGCGGGCGAGGCGCGAAGCCCTTCGTGTTTGAGGCGGCTGTTTTTCCCAAGTGGAGGAGACAGGAGTCAACGCGAGTCAACAAGTCTATGAGCCAAGATATGTAAAATAACAAGAACCACTCGCCAGCCAGTGGATGAGCACCCAGAATCCTTCCAAGAAAACTCCAGCTTTTAGAGGTCTCTGCTCTACCGTGAAACAGCCGAAGATGTATCATGACTCAAATGGGAAGTCCTTCGAACCGACATGGTCCCTCCAGATTCGATGCCCTTCTGAGCTGCATCCGCAACGAGGTCGACCTGCTTTCGTCTCCATCGCCCGCCCCTCGACGCATCCGAGCCGGTCGCTCGGTCGTCTTGGTTTGGGTTCGAAGGGGTTCTCCGTGCACCGTCTGCATCGCATAGCTCGGTCGAAGCTTCGATGCATCCAGGCCACATGATGGTGCTTCACCGACTATTGTGCGTATACTGGCGACCCTCCAATTACCACCCGACATGGGTGGCTGGCAGTGGCTGGATAGCAATGTGTGATGTAATAAAGAAAAAACTCACTCGATATCGCTCGATGGTTATTATGGGCGAAGCCTTTATAGATCTGACACTGTCTGAAGTCTGAAGGCAAGGCCGTTGATTCATATTGATACCAAGAAAACGGCCTGCAAAACATTCACCCTCCAAGTGTCCAAGTTGATTGCAATGAGCAATCTTATCCCGCCTTACTCACCTGAACCTTTTCCCGGCTCTCATTGATCCAAAATTCCAAAACTCAGTGGTGCGGTTGAGGAGGTGCCCACTCCACCACTGATCTCCTCCAACGTTTCTTAGACCAACCTCGGAAGGGGGGGGGTCCACCTGCACCCCCCCCCCCCGCTCTTGATCGTCCTTCGGACCAGCTCCTTCCAGCTCACCCAGCTCCTTCCCCCAGCTACCAGTCTCACGGGGGAGCCTCATTGATGCCATCGCAGGCAGCCTTCACTTGATCCTCGATGGGCACTGGAGCAATGTTCTCACCTCCCGCCGTTCGACGGTTGGGCGAGAACCGTTGGACGAGGAGACGGAGAACATCATCGCGGGTCGAACGGAAAAACGGAAAAGGCCAGAGACCCCACATACAACCTGAAAAAGAAACACAAGAACACTAGCTGGATGGTAAAAAGCGTCTTCCAGTCAGGTCGCCGGTCGCCCGGTTCTCTCTTCCTGTGGAAAAGAGGGCGTCCTGCGTCCTTTGGATCCGCTGGAATACCATGGACCGCCGGATCCGGCCAACCCTGTGTCCAATGCCGTCAGAGGATCCGTTCGAACTTGGTGTGCACAGTGTACGCGTTCCAAGGGGGCCATGGGGTGTCTAGCTCCAGGGGGCCATGGGGTGTCAAGTTAACCACCCCCAAAAGGGGACGGTGAACACGGCGGCCGGTTGGGTCCTTCATCACGGTCAGAGATTGGGAGGCCGCAACCGGGGCGTTCATTTGGAAGAACCGCTGGACGCGAGCAGGAGTGAAGACCCCGACATCGCTCGTCCCATGATTCCGATGGGTCGTGAACTTTGACCAGGCCGCCAAGTAATAACCCAGACACTCCATGTATACCCTATTCGCCGAGAAAAGGCCAGGGGAGGTTGATTACAGGGGTCAATGGGTCAATGTATGCAACCAAGGCCCACATCCCCCACATCGGCCTCCATCACCGATGATGAGCTCCTGTGTTCGGCAAAACAAAGGCGCAGTGCCCCAAATGGCTGGTTGTGGCATGTTGTTACTTTGCTCCGCACATCCCGAACTAGTTCACTTCGCGTACCACCACTGGATTTGGTACATCTTCCCTTCCTTTTCAGGGTCTATTTGGGGCTGGATGCTGGATGAGAATCGGCATGTTTCTCTGAAAGCCACAGTAAATGCAGATCCAGTTTGAGTGTCTGAAGGAGAAGGACTTACAATCCCGACTCCTAAGATTTGAGAACTCCTCAAACCAGGCGACTTAGCTGCTTAGCTCAGCGTTACCCCCCGGAGCTCCCAGTTCTGGTAGAAAAATCCCGAAAAAGCTGGAACAAACGATCTCGTGCTCCGCAGAGCTCGCAGTCAAAGCAGATCTCGTTGCAAAAAAAAACGTTCACCATCTCGTTGTCCTTTCGGTCTCGTCAAGTCGCTTTCTTGTTTATGCCATATGATTGACCAAACGTCTATATAAACTATAGTGACTAAGTCGCCCAAGCTCAGACAACCCACGAGTAGCGGAAAACAAGAACGGCGGAACGAACCGATCGAGCGACGCTCGCTGCCTCGCTTTTTTGTTTCGGCCTTAACGATCCAACGGGGCTCCTTAAAACGGCCCGTGATCTTCACCATGCCCTGCTCAGTGACGATGCCTGGCGAGTGATGAGTGATGTACGTCGGTGTGGACTGACAATGGCGCCTGGACTGGCAGAAGCTCCAGAACAACGGGGCTGACTGGCACCCAGGCGGTTTCCTATTTTGTAGCTGGCACAAAGTGACCCTCTTTTTGGAGGGGATGTGTCCAAAGAACTCATGATGAGTGGTTTCCAAGAAACTCTCCGCCTAGAAATCCTTCACGAAAGAAGGCGCCACAGAAAGTCTCCGGCACCAGCAAAAACATGAGCTCCTGCCCCGCCTTTGTCTCCGGAGTGCATCCAGCCTTCTGAATCAATGGCTTCCGCAGTCTTCTTCTCCTCAGCGAAGTGCGGCTCGCCTTTTCCGCGGCTCGCCGCGAGGCCGAGCCACCAACCCAACCCAAGGGTCTCAGTCCGTCGAGCCTCCGTGGACCGTGACAGTGGATGACAATAGGGCAACTGCAGGCGATGGAGGACCTGTTTTCCTCTACAAACTGTCCAGCTTCCATGTCAGTCAAACCAGTGGTCTGGTGGGTCAAACGCTTCAAGGGCGGTCCATCCTGCAGTTGTCAACACGAGCCGTCAACACGAACCGTCGGTCGCGATGTCGGAAGATGGGCTCCAGAAGGCACTTCTGTACTGAGGACTGAGACTAGCTATTCTATACTGAATATACGAAATGTCTCGTCGTGTAGCTATGATAGCGCGTTTTTTGATGAGAGACGATAGGAGTCGGACCTTCTGCTCACTCTCCAGTCGCCTCCAGAGCCGACGCTTAGGACCACTCACTTCCCACCCTCCGACCCATGGCGACCGATCCGCAGGCCGACCCCCTTTGGTGTGTCCAGCATCGATCTCTTTGATGTGGGCCTCCCCGAAGTCGGGTTGGGCCATGTAGCCCATCCTAGGACCGGGGCGGTTGGGCGGGGCGGGGCAGGGGCGGTGGTTGGAGCGGTGGTTGGCGGAGGTGCAGCAAAGGTTTTGCGGTGAGACGTGAGACACCAGAGTCACCTAGTTTTTGGAACACTTGGCCATGATTCATTTGAATGATGTCGTTTCTTCTGTTTCAATCCCAATTTTGGCATGAGGCGGGCTTAACCCGAATTCTCTAATTGCCCTTGGGCACATCAGACACCGCCAGCACCACGGAAGGGGTTGTTATTGGATGGATTATACATAGTCAGGAGTGTCCATAAACGACCCTTTCCGTGGCGCTGGCAGTTGTCCAGTTCAATTCTAAAGCTTAAGCTCCAGAGGATTCATGGAATCCAGAGTCTGACCATTCCTAAACACGAAGTCTGGTAGAGTGGCGTTCACCCTCCAAAAGCTCATCTTGACCCCAAAAAACATGCATGGTGAACTGCCCTGCCATCCCGAAAAGGCCCGGGCTCCCGCATGCTCCCGCGCTCCCCTCACCTCCCCTCTGTGTTTTTTCTGGCCAGGAATCATTATGGAGCGTCCGCGGAAGCAAATCTCACCCTGGTACTTCTCATCGATGGTGTCAAGGCTCGGCGCCGGAGGGCACTCCGTCTTGCTGTTGCTCTTGTCGTCGACTTTAAAGACCTTGACCTCTTCGACATCGCGTGACACGCGCCGAACGTGCACGTGCACGTGAACGCCCGCGGAACCAACGGCCCGGAACGGGGTGTTTTGTGCGACCGGCGTGGACAAGTCGTGTGGAAGAGTTTGACTGAAAGGGACCCCAAAGGGGCTGCGACATGGCTCGGGAAGAGGTCGTTTTGGTCGACCTTGGACTGATCTGCGATTTGGACTGGCAAGTGAGAGGTTTCCAGTGGAAACATGGACCAAATCCCCAAGCCGAATCCAATCTCGCCATTTTCTCGAGTCTTTTTGTCCATGGAGGCCCAGCATCCATGATTCCTTTGAAATGCTATTAGGAACAAGGACGCCATTAGGGGCTCCTGGCCTTACTACTAGGGGCAAGGATGCTACTAGGGGCTCCTGGCGTCGCTACTAGGAGCATTCTTACTAGTCCTACTCCAACGGCTCCTTTTCTCGATCCGATCACCATCGCAACTCGGAGCTCGCTCTCTTCGCCGCGAAAACACGGCCGGCCTCCAAGCCGGCAATCTGAAAGCCGCAGGAGCCCCAGGCATGACACGCAGGTGTCGAAATCGTCGAACAGCCATGACTCTCCTGAGAGCTTCAGAGCTTCGACTTCGAACCCGGAAGCGAGAGCCGGAGTGGTCCTCTTCCCCCCCCCGGAAACGAAGAAGAAAACATCCAGGACATAAACGCCTGAGAGGGGCTAGCAAGGGTCTTCCTATTCATGATGGAATTCATGTTTTTTAAGAGTACTGTTCTTGCCAGCGGCCAAGGACCAAAAAACTGATAGATGGCACAAACTCCTGACGACTTGGATGGAATCTGAACAACTGGGTCTAAACCGTTGTTTATTTATTTAAAATATATATATAAATATACTATATATATATAATTACACTAAACAGAACGGACCTTTCAGCTCCCCATCACAGGACGACACGGTGCCCTATCCATCCGTGTCACACCCGATCTTCCGGTCACCCGGATCTTCCGGTCACGCCGAGAGGCCGACATGCCATAAAGCCTTGGAGGCACAAGGAACAAACATAGAAAGGTACACCCTGGTGGCGACGAGCCCATGGACCCTGAAAACCACTGGTTGGTAGAGGAAAACACTCGGACCCAGGGGGCCAGGACGTCAGGGTCTATGTGAGTTTTCGGGAGTGTAAGTCTTCCCTTAGAAGAGCAAAATCAAGGAACCTAGCGGCCTCCAACCTAGTAGCTTCTTCCTGCTATAGTAATGGCCTCCAACCTAATAGCAATGGCCTCCACCCTTTGAAAGAAGACTCAAAACACTCAACATGCACTCCATGCTCCAAAGGTCCGTCCCTTCCACGCCCCCACGCTGAAGTCGCCGCCCGGCGGCTCATGGATGTCCAGTCCCAGCGAGCCGAAGTACTCCAGCGTGTCCACGCGAATGGGCGCCGCGCCTGGACGCGTCGTCCGGACCGTCCCGGACCGTCCGGACCGTCCGTTGGCACTCTGCGATCTGCAAGCAGTGACCAGCGCTCTGAAAAGTGGGACCGGTGACGTGTGGTGGAGGTGAAAAGAAGGAGCTCCCTAGCGGGAAATGACTGTGACTTGACTGAAATCACTAGATCCCCATCAGGAGGAGCATTGAGAGTAAAAATACCAGGTGTTTCATAATGACTGGGCTGGTAGCTACCCCATGAGAAGTTGCAGTAGAAACTGGGCAATCCCTTCCCCACCCTAAACAGCTGAGTAGAAAAAGACTCGTGACAAGTAGACAAACTGACAAGACTCCCTCCTTCCTCTTCATCGCCCCCCTGAGGCTCTCTCCGTCACAAATCTCTGGGCGATCCCAAGCGCAAGGCCTGTGGCGGCAAACTTCATCTGGTCCAAGCCCAAGGCTGCTTTCACCTTGGACAACACAATCATGTCGGCCAAAGTGTATCCTGCGACCGGGCGCGATTCCGGGACCCGCGACCGGTCCGGTGTTTGTCCGGTGTTGTTTGTCCGTATTGATTTGTTTGTTTTTTTTATGCACATCGGTGCTTCTGGTGTTGCAGTAAACCAGCGAGGGCGATGCAGGGATTAGAACTAGTGATGTGATGTGTTGTTTCATACATTCATATTCTCTCTACTGCTAACGAAGGTGTACTTGGTGTAGTTTTCCCGCAAGGCCAAGCTAGCCGCTTCCGCTGTTCAAGGCACGATGACCTTTCCATTGCTGGGTGTTGACTAGACTAGACGTTGTCAAAGAGTTCCAACTCCTTGGGGGATGACCAGACAAACCCAAAAAGGAACTCAAGGAACCATTAATCAAATTAGTCACATCAACTCTCCAAGAAGAAGATCACTCATCTGGACAAAAGGAAATAAACAAAATACAAACAAAACCCAATTGCCCAGGGCCCAGGGTGGGTCAAATCACCAAACCCCCCAAATCCCTACGCAAACACACCGCGGTGGCGAGAAAACCCACCCGCTTGCAGCGGTGAAAGAAACCGCTTGCACGGCCGGAGGTCCTGTTGGAGTGGATCCATCGCCTGCGGGACACGTCCATCCCACACCCCGCGACACGTCCGGCACAGCCTCCGAAGACGTCGATTCCGACACCGACCAACAACACGCCGTTTACGCTCTGAGACGGCCCTGAGCCACCTTGTTCCGCGCGGAAGCCCGCCGCGCGCTTCCCTTCCGCCCCTTGCAAAACCCGGAATCACATCCGCTGCGAGTGGGGATCCGATTCGGCGGGATGCTTTCGTTCGAAGACGAACCACGCGGTGTGTGTTCGTTCGGCTTGGGTGCCTCCCATGAGACGAGCTTTGGCGGCCCTCAAGCCCAGGTCTTTCGCCCAGGCAGCAATGCTTTGCTTCAGACCTGGCACGAAGTCTTCGGCGCCAGATGACGAAATGGGCTTGGTATAGGTGCGGTGGGGGAGCAAGAAATTGAAGGGTTTGGGCAAATTGTTTCCCTTTATCGAAATGGCGAACTGCTCGCGATGTTTTTTGAAACAATCAAAGACCCCAGTTCAATGTAGAGCCCCAAAACGGTCTTCTACTCTTTCTTTCAGGCAGATCGTCTCCCTGTGCACCAGTTGTCCAATGGTCCAATTCCAGGCAGATCTTGTCAGGATGGACGATCGAAATCTTCCCAACCCCCCCTAAACCGAGCACCTGAGTGAGTACCTGATAGGTCACTTTAGAGCCGTTGAGCCAACTCGAACATGCACGAACCCACCCAACAACAGCGAGACGAGTGAATCGCCATGCAGTCTTTCTTCCAGTCGACATGGTTTTTGTGTGAGGTGAACTATCGAAAAAAAATGATCGAACTAGACTGAGTCCCAACTCTATCCCAATTGGGGTTGTTGGCCACCAATGCCGCATAGAGATTGTCACGACCGCACAGAAAGCCCACAGTTTCTCGCTGCCTGAACATTTTGGAACAGTGCATGTTAGCCTCTCGTTGCCAGCACGGTCAGGTCCACAACCCAACCAATCAAATCCAAAGCATACCCTGGGAGTCAAAGATTATAAAAAGAATGGTCTTTAAGGGAACTGAAAGGAAACTTCCTTTACTCCAGCCGGTCAAAATATAGTCTTTGGACTTCTAGGGCATAACTAGAACCCCCACATACCCCAACTAACCCTGTCGAATCTGTCGAATGAACTCATTTCCCCATGTCACCCGGTTCGTTCTTGTGTCCCCCCCCCCCCCCCCCCCCCCGGCACCAATCCCCGCCGCACCGCTTTCGTTCGATTCGTTCCACCCGCCTGAGTTCGCAGCACCCAAGGCCCGCAACCTGTCAGCGATCCTTGGAAGTGACGAAACATCACGTCTATAGGCCCTATAGCGCGGCGCCCAGTGGTTTTGTTGGCACGTTGCGAAGAGCAAACATCTGTGGTTGGAAGACGCAACACATTCCAAAAATAACCTGGTTGACCACACCAAGTCGATCTTCCGGCAGCAAACGGAGACCAGACTCCAGGGCATGCCACATCCAAAAGAAACCTCCTTGCCGATCATTCATCCACATCTGATGGAATTTCTCATGACCCTGGTTGACTTCGGGGATGCCCAGTACATGGTATCAACATGTATCAACTAATCTGATCATATCTGATCTGTTGGGATGTCGGTCTTGCCTTCCACCAAGGCACTTCTCCCACACCAGCGGCACCGCCAGCATCAAGGTGGGACGGCACGCGCAAAGCCGATCCTTGATACTGCCAGCCTTCAAATCCTCGGCGCATCGATGCAAAAAGAACCGCTCAACGAAACAAAAGCACTTACCAGGACCTTCCAACAGGTGGTTTTTGGCCACCTCTTAACCTCTAAGAGGCTATTTATAGACACCTCTTGGAAGGTCCTGGTACAGTCACTTACAGTATATGTTTAAAGAGAACGTGTTTTCTGTGATTTGCCAAGAGAACATGACTTCCAGAACAACAAAACCACCGATTCTTGCTGAGCAGAAGTGTGGTGCTTTTCCGGGGCATACTGAGGAAAACATCTCCAAGGTCCTGCCTTCCCACGCGAAAGCAAACTCCGGGCACTCGATTCTTCTCTTAACCCGCTTCGCTCCGCGCTTCGCTTCGCTCTCTTCGCTTCCGCTGCAGCTCGCTCCGCGCGGAACGCGTGTTCTGGCCCAAGATTCATATGGTCGTGCGAAGTAGGTTGTTGCCTTGGTGCGGTCGTTGCCTTGGTAACAAGAAGCTACTAGGTTTCAGGGCATCGCTAGTAGGTTCAAGGCCATTACTAAGTAGTAACAAGAAGCTATTAGTAGCAAGGCACCTTAGTAGCCGTCTCCGGTGTCCTTCGCCTTCTCCGGTCCTGAAAGGGGACACCTCCGTCCGGGGACGAAGACGTTTTTCGGTCTTTGGAATATGACGGGCGGATGAAAGAACGAAGGACATGGATGGACATGGTACATATCTTTTTCCGAAGTTCCTGCATCCAAAAGGTCAATGGTCTCACTCATCCTCACTTACCAAGTTCCTCACAGCCAACCTGAGCCCTTATTCGAAGAAAAACGGGCCAGTGTCCTCGTGAACGTGTGCAGTTGCAAGCCACTCGAACCCCCGCGCCCAGTCTGGGAGGCCCCACCCAATTGGAGCTCAAGGCTGTGAGCACCGCCGGGCTGTCAGCGATCGCGCGGATCGTGCCGAGCGGATTCGCTTTGGGGGGAAAGGACGATAGTTTGAAGGTTTATACAGGTCAAGGACCTCATTTGACTGGATCCGGGAAAATGCCAAAACCAGTCCTCAATGAGGTCAAGGACCTTGGACTTGTAGGGGTTCTTGGACTTGAAGGATCCATCGGTTCGAACCGGGGCCTCCGGCTTCGGATCCACTGCCCCAGAGTGAGGACGCCGCCCCGGCAGCGAATCGGTCGGATCCGGAGGGGATGCGATGGCCAGGGGCTGTTTCTGGACTTATATAATGCTATCCCATACACTCCATGGGACTGGAGTATTATGTATGCCCCAGACAGACCCCTGGCCGTTTCTCGGCAGTCCGGCAGTCCCATGGGTCGTGTCTGGGTATCACTTCAGCATGTCTGTTCAGACCCATTTTGGATTCGATCCCAAGAACGACCCCATTTCTGATGACCCATCGCCAAGGAAGCATTCGTGTACGAAAGGCCAAACGGATGTTCGTCGCTTTACAGGTGAGGAATGGTCCTGGGCTAGAAATGGCCCTGGCTTACATTCTTGTCAGGTCTTTCGACAAGATCTACTTCATGTTACTGCTGACCTCCACAACACGGTCGTCGCACCAAATCTCAAACAATGCAATGCATGAAAATTAGCTTAATGTTTCGACATTTTGGCGGGTAAGCCAGGCAAGCCTTGGTGTCTATAGACATCAAACCAAAAAGGAAGCTTCACCTGAAGATGTTCGCCGAGAATATCTCTCGTCAAAAGCCGAACGAACGGCTCTCACTCAAACAAAGCTGCGCCCATTTCACCGCGGGGCGAGGTGCGAAAACAGTAAGGCTCAGGGATCCCTTGATTGGGCCAGTCAGGCGGTTGTGCCAACATGTCAGGGATTTGACTGCATGAATTTCTCACTGGTATTTTCTTCTTTGGCACAACCCGCAATGGCCACCAGCAACTTCTCGTTGCGAGGGTGCTCGAGGAGGATGGCAAATGGGTCGTTCAGCCACCTCCGAAACGTGGACCTCAAGGTCTCGCTCACTTTAGTGAGCCCGTCAGCAAACTGGCAATTCGAAGGGAGCCAGTGCATATGAGACTTGTCAACTGTCTCCTGAATTGCTCTCACGTTGCAAAGGGACCTTTTGTCCGTGAGGTTCGGTGCCTCGCTCACCACTGCGTCGTAGAGCGATTTCGCGTCCGTGGTCTGGACATAGTCGACCATGGAGCCAAGGCGGTGAGCCGGGCCATTGAAGAGGATCTCGGACAGGGCCATGTTCAAGTAGGCCGCTCGGTCTGAGGCCTCGTCTGCTGCTGAGGCTTCGGCCGCTAATGTGGATCTGCAGACCCTGGTCGCCCTGCAAGACCTCCAGTCCAAAGGCGAGAAAGCCGTGGGCTGGCTTCGAACCTCAGGAGGGCAAATGCCGATGAGGATGCCGATCTGTGAGCCGCTTCGAGCGGCGTTGCACCATGAGGCGTCACTGAACGCGACGATGACGGTCTTCTGGTTCATTGGGATGTCCTGCATCAAGAGCCCTTCATGTGGGGAGCTCTTCAGGTAGCTCATGGCGTCATAGAGGTCCTTGAGGTTATGGCACGTGGTCTCTTTGCCTTGGTTGGACAGGCTGACCACAGCTCCAATTTCTGGCCTGCATTGTGTGGACGCCCACTGCAAACAGCCTGACACCGATCTGAACTCACGGTGCTCCAGAGGCGTCAATTCTGGCGGACTGGAAGTCCTTCCGCTCGGGAGCTTAGCGGAGTCCAAGCCATTGATGAACTTGGCCATGGTGATCTTCAGCTTCCAGCGCTTATTCTCCAGTTGGTGGAGGTGTAACTCTTTGCCCTTAAATGTGACCACTTTGTTTGCTAGGTCGTGGAAGGAACCCCAGGCAAAGGCATCTTTGACTTCCTGGATGTTGTAGTCGCTCCTGAAAACACCCAAAAAATCATCAACGTAAACCAAAATCATTGACACGATCTGCTGACCTTCACGCTTGATGAACAGCATTTGGTCGAAAGTGTGGCGAGTGTAGTGGAGTCTAGTCAGTCTTGCCACTACTTCATTGCACCACAAGGCCGGTGCATTTGCAAGGCCATAAATGTTGCCCATCACCTTGTATAGAGGGTGTGACCAGCATGGTGTCATGTCGATCAAGCCGTCCTTTGGAGGGTACATGTACAACTCCATGGGGCGCTCTGAGGGCTGCTGTCCCTGCAGGAAAGCCGTGGCGGCGTCTGCCGTCCAGGAGTGCCATTTGAGCTGTGTGTCAAACAGCTCGCAGTTCGCTCCGGCCGTGATCATTGCCAGCATCAGCATCTCAGTCGTTCTGCCTGGTGTGGGAGCTGACCGATCTAGAAGCTCTAGATCTGGGTCTAGGTGGCCTAGGCACACGATGCGGCACTTGGCTTTCAACTCGCCTTGACCAACGTTCTTGTCACGGTAGCATGCCCTGGATCTGAGGATCCTTTTGGAGAGGATCTTGTCACGGAGGACTCTCTGGGCTTCTTCCCGAGTCAGCGGCTTCACACTTCTCCACTCGGACCAGCTGTTGGCTTCCTTGATGATGGAGTCGAGGAACTTCTCCACATAAGGCCTTGGCATGGATGCTATCTGCCTCCAGGGGATTTCCCTGTCCAGTTGTTTGGCTTCTTGTCGTGTCATGTTCCTGCTGGGTTTGTCTGCTGGTGTGCTTATTGACTCGTCAGAGTCTGCGCTGGTGTCTGATTCTTCTGCTGGCTTGCTTGTTCCGTTGACGTCTTGTTGTCTCTGCTGTGTAGTGAGGTAGATCTTGTGGAACCTGTTGCTTGCTCTGCCGAACCCTTGTGGTGGTGTGCCTCCCCATGTTGGGTTCATGGTGGTAATGGTGCCGTCTGCCTCGTGCAAGAGGGTGTGCAAGCTGTCAAACGGTCGTTTCTGTGGTAATGTCGGCAGGGGTTCCTGCTGTGCTGCTTCTTGCTCTGTGTCCGGTGGTAGTTCAACAGGTATGCCAGGAGGTTCTGCCGAATGTTGTGGACCTTGTGAGTGTCTGCCATGTGCTTCTGCAGCTGCCGATGCTGGTACCACTGTGTCATGTTCCTGTTGGTGGTGTAGAGCATTATGTCCCTCATTCTCGGATGAGAATGGTGTAGTAGGGATGGCAGGCGGGTCCTCTGCCAAAATGGCTTGTTGGTGAAACTGTGTGCCCTGCGGTGATGTATGGCCCAGTGTGGCCGTGGCATTGTCTGCCAAAGGTGGTGCCGAAGATTCGGCTGCCGGTGCAAGTGCTGATGTATCAGCCAGTGCTGCCTGTGAGGCTTGTTGTGCAACTTCATCCGGCTGCGTTCTAATCCCCTTGAGGGATGAAGCGGCCTGCGATGGAAGTGGTGGACTCTTGGTGTAGGGTCCATGGTGTCGTCGGGATCTGCTCAGAGACTTGGGAAGGTCTCCAAACCTCTGCATCTGCACCGTGGTGTGCTGGTGATGGATGTTGGTAGGGCTATCGATGTTGACGTGGATAGCCGTTGCGTGCTGGTGAGCCACTGGTGGCGGTGTTCCAGGTGCTGCGGTTGCTGGGGCCGGTGTCGCTGGAACCATCATTGATGGCGTTGGAGGCGGTGGAGCAGCATCGTACTCCAGTGGTGCATCTGCCAACTCTTCTGGTGGTCCGTCTGGTGGAGGTTCGCCTCTCTCATCTTCGAGTATGTGCTGGGTGAAGGATTCAGCCGCATTCTTCAATGCCTTTATGTCTGACTGGTCAGGTGTCCAGTCTTCGAATCCATGAGCTGTACGGAGCTGTTCTGCAGTCACCAACGTCGTCGAAGCTCCCAGCCTCACCCATGCTTGCTTGCCAGCATGGCCTGGATCCCATGACAGGAATCTTGCGGTCAACCATGCTCCTCTTTTGCGAACACCTTTCTTGGACCAGCGCCAAACTGCGCAGCGCTGACCCGGTTGAAGATCTGGTATGGCGGTGTTCCGCGTCTTCCTCAACAATGCCCTCCGCAGCTGTTGACTCGCATTCAAGTCGAGCAAACATTTCTGGGCTTCACTTCTCACGAGCTCTGCGCGAAGCTTGGGGTTGTAGTTCTCGTCGAAGGCCTGGGTGGAGCTCGAGAGGACATGGTCGTCAGAGAGGACGTCATTGGGAAGGCGAGGCTGCCTCCCAAACACTGCTTGATATGCTGAGCGGCCTCTGGAATAGACCATGTTGTTGCTTGCGTGGCAAGCTCCAATGAGGATTCGTGGGATGTCCTCGGGCTCGACCGTGGCAAATTGGTCAACTAGCTTCTCGATTGTCAGTCTCAGGATGGCGTTGCGCCTCTCCACCATGCCGATCTGGAAGTGTGCTTCTGGGGCGCAATGCTCAACCATGCATCCCATGCTTTGGAGTCTATTCTCAAAGTTGCCTCTGAAGGTGTGGTCTGGATCACACCTCAACAAGAGTGGGACCCCAAAAGGCCTCAACCAGATCTCTTCCAGAACACGGAAGGCGGTGTCAGCATTTCTGTCGGGCATCAGTCCGGCCATGTGCAAGCCGGTTGCTCTGTCAATGACTCCAAGGATCGGATAGGACTGGCCGGTCAACAGGCGGATATAGAAGATGTCCGCTTGAAGCTCATCGCCAAATTGGCCAGCGACCATAGAAGGCATAGACGCTGGTCGTGGTTCTTGTGGTGGCTTCAACCGACGGCATGTGGAGCAAACTAGTCCTTGCACTGCTTTGATAACCAATGATGGTACTGAACCCTGTGAGGCTAATAGACGAAGAAGTTCTTGAGGTGAAGGGTGTCCTAAGTTGATGTGCAACCGTGCCACTGAGCGCTTGATCACTGGGTCCAGGGCTTCTTTGGTGTCGAAAGAAACATCAGTCATGAGCCCTGGAACGATGGCAGGTTTGTCTTCACCTGGTTGGGCTTGTTCTCGATGTTCAGGGGCCTCTAACCTGAAGCCGTAGGCGAACACTGCAATCTCTACTGCCTTGCTGAAGCGCTGTCTTGGGAATTGAATTTCGTCGAGGTCTTCGACCTCCACTGCCCGTGTCTTGTCCGCATACTGCAGGAATGCGGCACGTGTGAAGTACTCATCAACATTGGCCGGAATCCTCCGGCAAGTTGGGGCAAAACATGCTTGTATCTTTATGGCCTTGATCCTGAAGAGCTGCTGAATGCTCTTGCCCATCTCGGTGTCCAGAGGGATGTCAAACGGTCTCTTGTTGGAACGCTCATAGGCTCCAGAAATATAGTTGGAGATGTCATTCCAAGCATCCAAGTCCGCTGTGGGGTAGGAGATAGCAAGGACATGGTGAAGTGGTCGTCCAAAACGAGTGGGCTCATGCTGAAAAACTATTGCTCGCAACTCTTGCAAGATCTGCCGGCATAGGTTGTCCGGGTAGACTTGGCTCTTTCTGGTGATCGTGCCCTGAATGGGGATGCAGTACTGCTTCTCCAGATCGTCCAGCCTGCGATGAAGGGCAAGATCCATACCAGGAGCATTGCCTATCCATCTCATAGGTTTGCAAAGGGGCTGGCCATCAACCTCCGCTCCATAGGCACCTGCATCCAGTGTAGTCGACCAGACTCCTGGTAGCGCAAGAAGTTCTTGTAGTGCCTGTTCTTGCCATAGTGTGGATCGGAGGGGGTTCTCGATCAAGAAGTAACGGCCGTTCTTGTACTGCTCCAAGGCGACGTCCGTTGCGAAGTGCACGAGGGGCCGTTCTTGCCGTTGGAGTTCTTTAAGTTGAACTTGCCGTTCAGGAGTGGACCAGTTGAGGTTGATGGAGAACTGGTTCCAAAGGCGGCAGTCAACACCCATAGGAATCAACCACGGCTTAAACTTCTTGACCTTTTCCATGATGTAGGCCCTCGTAGAGGCATCTTTGAAATCCTGCCCGTAACGAAGGTCCTGTGGTTGGAGTGCATTCAAGTCGTATTGATGAGCCAATTCTGTCATTCTGGCTTCACCTGCAAAGAGTTCCCATAGGTCAACACAAGGAGGTGGTCGGTGAACAGCATGATGGGTCTGGTAAGTGGAGTTCTCGACGGTGTAGACCTGAATGGCCCTCTTCATATCGCCCTTGAGCCGCTTGGCTGTGCCAGGCTTCATGTCGAGGCGATGGGAAGTGGCTCTTCCATCTCGTCCACAAGTCCCCAATCGAGACTGTCCTCCTCTTCCCAGTCCTCGATCTGCCACAAAGCCTCCTCCGGGATCACCCCGAGGTTCACCATTCTCCGGACGCGGATGATGTTGGCGTCCCGCTCCAACTTCTCCCTGTCCTGCCGGAAGCCCTCCTCGTACAGGAAAGCGTGATGCGCCCAGCTGTGAGGTTCCCGATCCAGTGGTGAACCCTGCTCGCAAATCTGGAAGACCTCGTAGTCCTGCTCCGGGGTCAAGTGGTCCATCTTGAGGTCGAACTCCTCCCGGAAATTGGTCCAGTAACGAGTCTCCGTGCTGGCGCTCGAAGCCGCTGTGGAAGAAGTGGTTGGCTTCGTGGTAGTTCTCCTCTTCATCTTGGGCTTTGCCTTTGCCTTCATGCCCTTCGGAACCTTGGTGTCCTTCTCCTTGCTGGAGGGCGGTAGTGGCAATGGCGACGACCGTGCAGAGTAGCCTGCCGATCCAGCCCATACGACCCATTCCTCTTTGCTTTCGTTCCACTTCCATGTCCGCATGCACTTGCGGCACTTGCCGAAGCGACCGTGCATGTTGCCGTACCTCTTGATGTCCTTGTGGTCGCATTTGTCTGGATGAGGGGGCACGTCCGTTGTTGGTGGAACTGCTTCTGCCAACCATGCTCTGGGCATGATGTGCATGCGCACTGCCGCGGCCATCATGATCCACACGTTCTTCTTGAACTTGTTCAGGCGATGCACCATTCGTCTCCAGTGGATCAGCCATGGTGCTGGCGTCGACTGCATGGCCGGGCTCCGAATTGGGGGCGATGATCGTCAGATGATCCTTCGTGGGCTTCGGAGGCAACAGAAGCTCAGGATCGGGGTCATGCCAAAGCTCTTGGCTGGTGAACTCTTTCCAAACATGCCATGAGTGAACTGCTTCGTGATGAACGACGTCAAAAAGTGCAATACAAAAATGACCACATCTGACATGTAAAGGAACAGTGCAACCCAGGCTGGTAAAACGAACGGACCGATTCGGGAGATCGATGATGGTTCCAAGTTTGTCCATGAGGCTGTTGCTCCCGAGAAGTGGAATGTCCTCTGGTAGAAGTCCAGCTCCCAACAAACAGGGGTTGCAGTCAAAAACCGTGGGCATGTACACACGAGTGGCGGCGACCGTAGGGCTTCCCTTTCCGAACTGGTACATGTCTTTGGTGGGGATCGTGTGGCAAGCCATGAAGTGGTGCTCTAAAAACTTCTTGTGGTGCTCAAACCAAATCTCACCGCAACAAGTTCGCTGACAGGCGGAGTCCAAAACCATGAATCCTGCGAGGCTTTCCCCGGTGGTGTTGTTCTTGATCTCATGGATGGTGAAGGGGACCGAGACCATATAGGTAGTAAAGCTCATCCCATAGGTGGATTCGGGCTCATCGGTGATTTGCAGGCTTCCATGTTCATGGTGTTGGACTACGCTGACGTGGTGCGGCTTGTCACCCTTTTTGGCTGGCTGAAAGGTCGAGGAGCGGTAGGAACTCGAAGAGCCTTTGGCAGTTCCCTTGGATCCCTTGCCGCCCTTGTTCATTGGGCACTCACTATCGGCAGCCCAGTGTCCCAGGGCTCCACACGCTGAACAATGCGTGACTTTGCGGAGCTCCTCAGGAGTCTTCTTGACCTTCTTGCCGCCGGTGGTAAACTTGCGGCCCAATGTCACACCGCTCAACTTGCGAGCCGTCACTGGCAGGACATTGGCCAGGTCTTGTAGCTCAAGGTTTCCCTGGTCGTCGTCTTCTGCATGCTCAGGTTCATTGCCTTCTTGCTGTTCATCTTGTTCTTCGTCCGCCTCAGGAGGAGTCAAGTCTCCATCAGCGGCCTCCAAGTCCTCGCCTTCAGGCTCCTCCTCCAAGGTCTCAGCGACAAAGACCCTCTTGGGCGGATAGCCCTTTCCTCCTCCGGAAGAGCGAGAAGACGGTGCCGTTGATGTCGTCGAACTGGTAATCGATGAAGTCGATGATGATGCGGTCTTGCCGTGCTTGCCAGTGCCCTTACCTTCCTTCGTGAAGATCGGTGGAGGTGGACGGAACTCAGGCCACTGCAATGCAAGGGTCTCTGCAATGGTCTCGAAGGCCAAACTCTGTTGGGTACCTATCAGGACCATCCGCTGGTCGGAGTGGCTCAACCCGCTCCTGTCCAACAAGCGGGAGCCGAGGGCCTCCTCGTCGAAGGTTGCCGTGATCTCGATGCCGACGGCCCGCAGGGACCTCATCACCCTCCGGAATCGAAGGACATAGGCCCGCATCGACTCGCCATGGAAGCGGCGCATGTTTTCGAAGTCCTGGAGGAAGCGACGCTTCTGGTAGATCTGTCTTTGTTCAAATGGCTTTTGCAAAAGCTCGAGGATCTTGGCCACGCCATTCTCGACGTAGAGCTCGTCCACGCTGAGGTGTTCAAGTTCTTGTTCAGGTTCACCGCTCAGACTATTGTAGAGCAGGAGCGCCTGATCTTTTCCCGAGGCAAATGGCCGCATCTGCAATTGCCAGATCTCAATCTTCTTCTTGTACTTGGCGAAGGCCCTCAAGTCACTGGCATCGTACTTCCACAATGGGACCGGTGGATACTGACCGGTCTTCCACTTGATCCCAGGCTCAGGACCTTTTCTGCTATTCCACGAAGCTCCAGTCTTGTCGGAGTCATCGTCCTTCTTCTTTTGCCCACCAGCGAAGCTCATGTTGGTGCCATGTAGATCGGGTAGTTCTGAATCGACTTGTCGGAGTAGGACAGCTGGTCGTGGTAGTCGAGGGCCAGCCTTGCCGGTTACCGGCGCATGAACTGGTTCTCGAAGGTCAGGAGGTAGACCAGGTCCTGTAGGCTTCTTTGGTCCTTGACCAGGCTTTGAAGGGCCGGGAGGACCAGCATGAGGAGCTTTGCCTGTCCTGGATGGTGCCGGTGATGGTTCAATCACCGGGTCATGTGTCAGGGCTTCTGACTCCGCACGTTCGTAGGACTCCTCCAAGTCGAAGTCATCTCCACCATCTGGAGGACTGTCTGACGTCCTCTGCTTGTTCTTCTTTCTCCTAGGTCTTCTCGAAGCCCTCGAAGGTGCTGAGGAAGGAGAGGAACCTGCAGTATGGGGAACAAACATCCAAGTGCCAGTGGGAGTGACCGTCTTGGTGGGGTAGCGCACGTTGTGGTAGTCAGTGGAGCCACATGAAGAACACTTCCATCCATTCTCTAGCTGCTCCAACTCATGTCCATGGCACCTCAAGCAACGCCAGGGGCCGGGCTCATCCTGGATCGCATGCTCGGGTGCTGGAGGCGTCAGAGGTAGGAGAGGTGGAGGGCCGTCATCGAAATCTCCATGGAAGTCGTAGTCTAAGTCCGCCATCTCGTCCACCTCAGAAGCCCTCATGGAAGCACCGAGCACAAACGCAAGGCTCCGGTGCCAACTCGTCAAAAGCCGAACGAACGGCTCTCACTCAAACAAAGCTGCGCCCATTTCACCGCGGGGCGAGGTGCGAAAACAGTAAGGCTCAGGGATCCCTTGATTGGGCCAGTCAGGCGGTTGTGCCAACATGTCAGGGATTTGACTGCATGAATTTCTCAATATCGACCTTCACCCAAAAGGACCTCCATATGAGTGGAATTCAAATAGGGAGATCTCCAACCAAATGTGCTTTTTGTGTCTATGGTCCGTTCGGTCGAATTGGAAGGTCTCCATATATGATGATGTAGAACCCACCGACGATGTCCGGCCCCCAAATCGGCTGCCAACCATCGGAAGTCCAACAAGATCATGATCCAAACCCCCTCCCCGCCCAAGCCCTGCAAGGTTGCGGACCGGGACGGACCAACAAAGGTTCTTCAGAACCCGACTGTCCGACCCAATCCCAGTTGGGTACCTAGCCTCTTGTTGCTTTTTCCTTGGTTGACGAGTCCTTCTTCAGGTCACAAAGAAACCCTCTCTTGGTTGACCAGCGCCCCTGCAGCACCAGTGCGAGCGAGCGAGCATGTCCCGAACGTCTTCTTCTTCCCAGCTGCATGGTGATGTCGACGGCCATTCCGGCGATGTGGGACAGAGGCAAATAGGACAAGACGCGCTCCTGGGTGAAATTGTTTCGGGATGCTTCTAGAAAAAAGGTTGTGTAAAATTGACTTTTTATGGAGTAACTTAGTACAAATCCCAAGCTCATGCCAAGCTCATATCATTGAAGATCATTGAAGAATGTCTTGAAGAAAATCCATTACTACAATGCATACTTCAATCGTACTAGTAGACTTGCTCCCTAAGACCTCCACGGCCAACCCTTCCAGCGAAGGCCCAAACGGACTGCATGAAACAGCCAGAAGACTGAAACGTTCAACCAATTGGCTTGCTGGGATGGTCTAAAGGGTGTCCACATATCCATCCTGGTGTTTGTCAAGGCCAAGGGCATCCACATGTCCCCCCAAAAGAATCACAGACTGAATGTGCCTGTCAGAGCTTCATTGACCTGGACGCATCTTAAAGGGGGTCTGCTTCATTGGCTCCAGAGATGGCAGCAGGGAAAACTTAGTTGTAGTCACTATAACACCTTGAAACGTTGCGCAACATGCACCCGTCGCGACTCCAGGAAAGAACGGAGTACCAAAAACACAGCAGCCAAGGCTACAGCAGCCGAGGCAACAGCACCAACACTCCAAGCACAATTTTCACCCAACATCTTGCAGACGGTCTGACGGCTATTTTATATAGACCCCCAAATAGATAGAACAGTAGAATTCCTTTCAACATGTCTTGGAAAGCATTTCTAACTTCTCTATCTCTTTTGGAACTCATTCTGCCAATCCCAGCGTCTTGCACCTCGCCCTCCAAGAAGCCTGGAGCACCTGCACCACCGAGAGAAACGCATCCGTTGAAGTCTGAACCCTTCCGTTGAGCTCGGGGCCTTCACCCGAAGCCTCGGGTCCTTGGGACCCAGCGCAGCTTCCTCTTCTGGCTTCACCCATTTCACGACCCTACACTGTTCGGTCTCGGTCTCCATCTTTGGACACCCCTTGCCAACACCTCAGACATCGTTGCCAGAGTCCTCGACTCCCCCGCCCCGACGCTCGCAGCCCCGAAGCACCCGACATGCTGTCCGTGTCCGCAGCCGGACGTGCTGTCCACGAACATTGGTGGCAAAAAAAGGACCCTTCCAGGTTTGGGCGTTCCAGGTTTGCAGTTTCACGTCTGGAGACCCAGCAGTGTGGCGTCAGATTGACCAAAGGAATTGTTGGGGAGCGACCGTTCGGAGTCGGCGGTGCCTTCTTTGATTGTCTTCAAGAAGACCGATTGACCTTCGTAGTGCACGTTGTCGTGGGAGAGCATCACAGCCTGCATGCAACATGATGCCACCACTTCTTGCTCCCGGCGTGAGTGTGGCATGGACTCTGCATGCTGTAGCTGGTGAAAACCACCATGCACCAGGATTTGTGACAGGATGGGCAAGAAAGTTAAGGACTCTTCACCAACCAGGTCTCAACCAGAAGCTTCACCAGCTATGTCTCCCTCGACCTTCGATCACCGAGAACATGGACTCACTCGATGATCCTCCACTTGGCCGAAGAACGAGAACAGGGAGGATCCTTCACTCCAGCCAGGTGACCCCTCACCCCCTTGGAAGGTGCTAGTAGCTTTTGACCCCTTAAGATACAGCAGCCAATCTTCTGACATTCCACCAACAAAGGTTGAAGGAACGGACATGTTCGACTATCCCCAGGTGACGGCTCCTAGTTCAGGTCACGTTCCACCTCTCTGGGAACCCGAAAACCACCGGTTCTTCCAGCGAGTCTTCCAAGCTTCGCCGAGTCCAGCGAGTCCGGCGCCGCTCCCGCCCCACAAGTCCGGCGAGTCCGCCTTCGGGTCGCCAGTGGTGCCTGAGGTGTAAACCAGCACCTCAAGTCGTTGGAGTCAGCGCAGTTGACGCGTGTCCCCACGTGAACCCGGGAGAAAAAAAGCCAACCCGGGAGGTCAAGGGGAATGGGGAACCCCCTGGCGTCATTGTTGTTTTTGTTCTATTTGTTTGTCCTGGTATATATATACTGTATCCCCGAACCCCACGTGCCGTGTCTGGTGACCAACCAGCTCTCTGACCATGTTCTACACAACTTCATGCCCCTTTCAGCGGCTCAACCCACCCGCCGGCACGAAATCCATCACCGACCTCGGACCACCCACGGTGGTGCACTGGGGTCGCCGGCCGCGCATTGTCCGGGATTCAACGCCTTGGTCCTCTCATCCACCTCCGCGTCGCTCTCTTTGCCTTGCACGAGCGGAGGATTCGGCTCCCGTGCCGAGGTGCCGCAGGGAGCGGTGGCTTTTCATGCCATCCAGGAGCACCCCGAGTCTCGCCGAGTGGGAGGCCGTTTCGGAGAAAAAAACACGATTGTTTGACAGTCCACCATACGTTTACTTGTCGAGGTCTTACCAACGGGACGTTCATTTAACATCACAACAAGATTCAAAAGATGCCAAACCTGGCGAAGCTGACCTACCACGTCACTTCAATGCCCCCCCCGTTTCTCTCCTCCCCTTCGACCCGAAGCCATGACCACCGCTCCTTCGCCCCAGTCACGGCGAACGAAAAAATAACAAAAAAACACCCTGCCCTCTCCGTCCCTCTCACACTCCTCTCTCATTCGGTCCAAGAAGCTGCCCATCTCTATGGCCGCTTTCCAGCTCAGCACGGGCACCTTACGACTCTTCACCTCCACCATCTCTCCTTCGGAGGACCGCTTGACCGCGGGGGGTGGGGAGGACCCACACTGCGTGGACCGAGGGCCCGAGGAGGAGGGGGGAGGAAGGAGGCGGTGGTAGGCCACACCGACCCACTATGGGGCCCTATAGGAGTCGAAAACCGGCCAGTTGACATGCGTGGGGTCTGTTTTTGGCGCTCTCACAAGCTGCACGCTCGACCATTCCTCGATGTCTGGGATTCCTCAGAGATGATCTTGGGCTTGCCACAAGGTGCCCGGTCAAGGCCCAAATGGTCTGGTACTTTCTTCCAGCCTAGGAACTTGCTTTCGCGTTTACCACCACAATCTGAATTGGGCGGCGCTAGCGCTAGCCCCCTAAATAATCAATATTTAATTAGTAAGCGAATGAAGTTCGACCAAACAGAACACTTTTGTCAGCTCTGTTCATTCCACAGAATAGACCAAGTCAATCTAAAAATAATCATACAATGGCTCCTAGAAACCCGGAATTGAAAATAATCAGCAAAAATAAATACATATAGTAAAATTAAGTAAATATATCAAGTAATAAACAAAAACAATGAATATATAGTAGCACTCAACAAGTTACACTTGGAAAACGGCCGGATCGACACATAGGACCTAGGACATACTATTCCCTCATACGGGGTAGAGGAGGGGAAGGAAGTGTGGCCTATTGATGGCGGATTGCTGTGCTTGCCTGAAGGGAAGGCAAGTGAGGACGGGCTAGGGCTAGGGACTAAGAGAGAAACCCTTCTGAATTGTGTCCTATAGGGCATGGGGCCGAGTGCTCAAAAGTGTCATGAAAGACTCAAAGAATCTCAAGATGATCTCTGTGATTCTTGGGTAATTCAGAGAGACCTCGATTTTGGCATCGATATATAGCTATAGGCCAAGCTCTGCCCTGAAGTAGATGATGCTTGACCAAAAACGACCAGATCCTGATCCTGTTCCGTTCCCCTCCTGTTTCAGGCTCATAGCCATATGCAATGAAGGCTTTGACTCGCGGTGGTTTGGCGTCGTTCCGTGCTGCCAGCGCCTGCGGATTCGACCGATCGTCCCGTGCCGCTGCAGGGGAACCCATGGAATTCAGCGGAAAAGGGTCTGTCGCTGGTGTGTCAAACAAACACCGAACTCTTTCAAGGGTTGCTCAAAGTTGCTAGGTTGCTCTAAAGGGTTGTGGGGTCTAAGAATTTTGGGCACGCGACAAACCACACACCCCACTGACCCCGGAAAGGGCGGCCCTAAGAATCCGGACCCTCCAAATGGGAAGGGGGTTGTCAGGGTGCGGACTTTTGCCATGGAGGGTTGCGGACCCCTTCTTAGGCACACGTGGGTTTCGCTGGGGGTTTCGGATCCGGATCTGTCGATCGGAACTTCCCCACCATGTCGCTAGGCGATCGATCCACCGCTGGCAGCTGTAGGCTCACACATTCATCGCAACACATAGATGCACCGCAAGCAACGGGCTTAGTAGCTAGCAGCTCCAGGGGGCCTCTGTGGTCCTGACTTATCAGACTTGGAGAGCGAATCCATTCCATACCAGTAACACATAGTAACACTAGGATGGTAAGCTGCTAGAGCGTTACCACCATGGTGTTGATTTGAAGGAAGCTCAGGAGTTCAATTAGCACATATCTAAGTGGATCCAAGCTTAACTCCGTCAACACAATGCAAGCATGCTGTTGACAAGTGAACAAAAGCCGATTCTTCCTACCATCGCTGTCCGATGCGCCTTGAGCAATTTATCCAACTTCGATTTGTCCTCAAAGACTACGATTCCGGCCTTAGCCCATCGCGAAGGCACAGTATTGAAATAGGGAGAACCATCGGGGTAGACTGGTCACCGGCCTTTGTCCCAAACCTTCCAAGGGGGTCGTTGCCTGGGGGGTGTCCCTAAAAACACCTGGTCACCCTCTCAGCGGGTGGCAGTGGATGGATCCATCCGCATGTGCACTGATCTCTGAGGTGGACAAGGCACTTAAGAGATCTTAAGACTAGGCCAGGCCAAGGAAAGTTGGAGAAAATTGGATGCTTGGATGTGTTCACTCCAATGTCACTGCTTCTTCCCAACCACTGGGATTTTATAGAAATTCTAAATAATTCTAATGGTGGTCATCGACCCATTGGATGCAACAAGAGGACCAAAACAAACTTACACCCGGGAAGATCGAGACCGGAACCGAGCTTGGCATGGCATGGACCTGACCATGGAAGACGAGAGCTTCCGAAGAGGAAAAAGAAAAACGACATGGTGAACTCGGGTTCCCATGTGAACCTCGGAACTCCGGGTGTGCCCGAAACCTCCGTTTTGCCCGTGTGGGATGGGTCGTGTCCAGACACGCCCAGCTGCGGTGGATTCGGGGGAGGTGAAACCTGATGACGAAAGCAGCACGGCCCTCGCGGAAGCGATGTCCAACACAACACATGCGAAGGAAGAGATCCCAAAACGGCGCTGAAGCCGTGAGGTTGTTGTTTTGGTATAGCAAAGCACCCCCCAAAAAAAGACAATGATCTGGTCATTTTGGGAGGCCTCTTGTTTTAATTCTCCTTCCCGCAGCGGTTGAAAGCGGACACTTGCCTGGGTTTCGCCTTTCGCGCTTTCTTCGGGGCATCATTGCTGCTGAGGTCGGCGCCCCGCTGTGCGCCACCTTGAAGGCCGCCGTCTCCGGAGTGTCTGTGGGGTAGAGGCCACCAGCCATGCCACCAGCCATTGTAGCACCAAAGGTGCTGAACATCCATTCCTTGGAAGGAGATCCACAGGTCTCCGACATGGTGGCAGTCGTAAGTGGTAACCTGTTGGAGGGTGCTGGTAGAGGAAACGAGAGGAATGTGGATGGGTAGGTTGAAGCTGTGCATGGTGTTGAAGAATAACATCCAGGATCCTCCGTTTGCCAAGGACCTTCGGCACATTGGTGACAAAGTGGATTGGCCATATATATGTGCTGCTATCACCGATTTCAAGCCACATCGCCTTCCCGACGAAATCGTAGAGGAATTTGACTTCTGGATCTGTTCGATGTTCTAAATGGACGGGACTCAAGTTTGAGTTGTGGTGATGATATATCATCAAAATCAATTTGTGAACGTGTGAGAACAACTGACCAGCTTTGAACGTACATCATGGGCGTTGAACCCTTGAATACTCAGCCGTATGGCCACAGCTCAAGAAGGACCTCAGAACAATTGCGTCTTCCTTGTTGTTCTTTATGGTTTTATGTCCTAATGCTGTGAGCTAGTAGCAACATCTAGCAACCCTAATCTGGATCACCATATAGCCTTCTTGAGACTCCACCTCATCCTAACCAGTTCTCCGTCCGAGCCATGGTCCTTCTACCGAGGTTCTGGAGCGTTGAAGCCCCACATGGCCACATTGTCGAAGGGTTGCAAGCCCAGCTTGATGAACCTCGGAGACAGAGATCGAGGCGAGACAGAGGCAGGGTTGCAGGCCACATGAAGGGTTGGCCTTGAATGGGGGTAACTTGCCAAGCTGCTAAACTGCGGAGGTGAAAACGAGGAGATGAAAAAGCAAAGTTCCAGTCAAACCAGCCAACTACTATACTCGCTGGCACCCATGTCATTTGATGTCCCAAGTCTCCCTACTAATTGTCGTTTTCCTTTTCAGAGCTGAACTCTTCCTCACTGGCCAACTACTCCATGTCCCACCAGTTGCGGTCTCCAAACCCGCCAGTCAGTGCCCCGAGCCACGCTTTCGCCGCCTTTCGGCTGCTGTCGTAGTGGTCCTTCCACGTCCACGTCGTCCATTCCTTCGTGCTTTCGGGGTCGTGCGAACAGGTGGTGAACCTGGTGGAGAGAGTTGGACGGAACAGGGATGCGACCAAAACGGCATGCAAAACGGGATCTGAGGGTATCCAAAACGGCACATCCTGCAACTTGACTGGGTGATGGATCCACCATCTTGACTGGGCTGGACTGCTTGACCAAAGCTATCGAAAGCTTGTGGTTCTCGCCAGAAAGTGATCGAACCGCTCCTGAACCCCTCCCAAACGCCCAAGCACGGCCAGCACTTTGGAGGTCTGGACCCCCCCGCTCCTGCCGGGGTATATTTTCCCCACCAACCCCGCACCAGCCACACCCACTCAACCCATGCCATGCTACCCGCCCCACCCCCGAAACCCACGGCCCCCCCTGCCTCATCGGGCAGCGCGGGTGGCGGCTTTCCTTCCGAGTCCAGTGGTGGGACAGGTCGTTCGATCTTCAGCGCAGGCTTGTCCCACTTCGTCTCCGCCGCCTGGATCCGGGAGGGCGGCAGCGGCAGCGGCGGCGGGCGGTGGCGCGTGGTGGCGTGGAGGGGAGAGGGAAGGCGTGGCGTGGAAGGCGTGTTGAAGGAGCCATGGAGAACTGATGTCGGTAGCTCATCCATGGGTTTCTTCCTGTTCATGAGGAATGAGGCCACAGGCAATCAAACCTTGAAAACCTTGAAATCTTCTAAAGTAAGATTCGAAAAAAGTGGCTTCGTACAGCAGCATGGTACAGCAGCATGTTGTTGCTGGGTGTCCCAACCCTTACAGCTCTGAAGAAGGACTCTTTCCCGACTTTGAGTCTTAAAATCCGACTTAAGACCTGCCAGCGATGCCAGCTATACCAAGAAATCTCCACCTGCCAACCGCTTGGGATCGTCCACCTGACTACGAGTACCTTCCAGTAAACCTCGCACGTCTTGCCCCCGAGCTCAGTTCACTTCGGAACCGACCTGCTTCAATAGCTGGGGCAACGTCTTGGGCGGGGTCCCCTCCTGGCCGCGAGGTCCCCCTTCGCCACGGAGGCGCGAAGGGGATGCGTCAATGGGCCCCACCCCAAGCTCTCCACGACGACAGCGGCCGAACATCCCGGAAACGGCTGGCATGTGAGTGAACATAGCTCATCCATCCCTGGCATCCCCCCTCCGCCAGCCATCAAGAGCCACCCGCTTTGGACCCTTGTGGCATGGTCGCATGGGGCATCACTTCATCGAGCAACTCCTTCACACACTGATAAAAGAAAAAAACAAAACACGCCTTTCAGAAGTTCGAAGCTATCGACATCTGACCCTAGTAGTGACCCGTGACGGGCCTTTTGAACTGACTATTGAAGAGGTTCCCTCCTCTGAGGGAGTCGAGTGAAGTCCAAAGCTCCGTGCGGTCCGAGGCCGAGCAGTGCCGGTTCCGCGTGGCGGGTCCCGCGTGGAGCGCGAACAGGGCGGTCCTTGCTGGCAGGGCCTTTCCGGGAATAGCGTTCCTTGTGCAAACCATCAGGCTTGCAGGTCCACCAGGGTCCAGGCCCACTGTAATCACAGTAGTCTGCCTTGGAAGAATGGCACCAGGTTCAGAACTGGATGACCGTCGCGGACTCTACTTGGACTCAATGGACTCTATAGTAGAGTCACCAGAGTGGACGCGCAAAGACTCGCTTCGTGGCCAAGAATGGCATGGGCCATCATGGGCCAATGGCATGCATGGGGGGCATGAAGAACAACTCCGATTTTCACCGAAGCAAAGTATGGTATAGACTCTTGACTATATAGTTTAAGACCCCCCGTTTGGATTGAAATAAAACACTTCACAGGCGGGGAGTTCTTGATCAACCGTTTACGTTAAACTCAGATTCAGGTCCTTTCAAGGTGCATCTCTTCTGGGATCGGGACTCGGCCTGGGATTCCCCATCACCCACCCAAGGAAAAGGCTATTTTCAAGCCTGACATCACCGCCTGATCGAATCGGATCAGAATCAGTTCGGAAAGCCAAATGTTGATTCTTTGCCGTAAGACTCCTGCCAGCACCGACTGAAACCAGGTCACCAATTGAAACCTGTTGGGGCCCTTCCCAACCCTCCAAAGGAGACCTGTTGGAAGGTGCTGGTATCAAAAACCAATATGCCTTCATCCCAGAACTCAAAAGTCGCCACTGGCCAACCAACAAAACACCAAACTACTACCACCTGTGGTAACGTCTGCGTGATTCCAACCGGGGAAGACATTCTATGTTCGGTCTGTCACCACCTGCCACTGTTCTAAGTCTCCCAAAGCCCACCATGACTCGGAGACCGGGTTCAGTGGATCCGTCGCCAGAAGTTCGGAGCAGCGGAAGAAACCCCCCACCTCAACAAACTGGGCCCCACCTCTCTCACCGAGCGGCTGGGTCCGTCGAGACGGGTGCCTCCCGCAGGATGGCGCCGGGTCCTCCGCAGGCGTTCCCCATGCGTCGCCGGTTGCAACCCCAGATGCTGCGCTGCTCGGACGTGGTTTCCGAGGTGTGTGCGGTGACCGAGAGAGCAGTCTCTCAGTCGGTCAGAGTGAGCGAAATCGTTGGTTGTGGAGCCGAAATGGGCTATTCAGATGGATCGCTTGATGTTCGATTCTTTCTGATCTCACCGTAAATTGTATCATTTATATATGATATGATATATATATATATATATATATGTTCAAAAGTCAAAAAAGCAGTTGGATTCTATAGAAGTATACCTTACCCGGATCTTGGGATGTGTTTTTAGAGAGTTGCCTGATCCGGACCCCTTGACTGCACCCATGGAAACAACTAAAACAGAGGACGTACATACAACGAACATCGGAGGTTCGACCGATCGGCTAAGACTAGCTTGAGGAAAACTCAGCGAAGCCACAAACTCCAAGAATTTCTGACATCTAACCAGATGAGTGGCAAACAGTGTCCAAATGTTTGACCTTTAGATTCCTTGGCACTTGGTGTCTTCTACATCTTCTCCACCACTCGGACGAGGACCTCCCTTTTCCGACACACGACCTCTGACCCCGACCCCAAACCCCCCCGGCGGCGGCGGAAGCTTTTTCTTGTCACGTGTTGGGCTTGGGCTCCGGCGACTCCGCCTGAGCTGACCCAAAGACAGCACCTTGCTACTAGTGGCAGGGGCATCGCAACTAGTAGCAGAAGCTACTAATCGCAACTAGTAGCAAGAAGCTACTAATTGCAAGGTGCCTTACTAGTAGCTTCTTGTTACTTTGTTAGTGGTAGCAAGGTGCCTTACTAGTAGTAACAACCTACTACTGGTAAGGCACCTTGCTACTAGTAGACCCAAGACATGTGGAGCAATGGACCTGTGCTTCCCAAACAATCATTTGGGGCATATTTGGGCATCTGCCGATAGAAGCCAGATGTCGGGCCCCCAAAGCAAGGACACAAAAACTTCTGCAGTCTTTCTTCCCTGCCTGCCTGCCCTTTCTGTCTTTTCCTTCCTTTTCCCTTCCTATCCTGCCTGTCCTCCCTTCCTTCCGTCTACTCCGCACCAGCCTTCACTGCCCACCGCCCCGTCACCGCCCGGCCGGTCACCCGGGAACGCGACCGGAACGCCGGAACGCCTTCACCTGGTTCTTCGTTGCGAGCTCTTCCTCCACCTGGGCCATGTCCTCCTGCGCGAAGCACGGAGACAACCAGACCCAGCGAGAAAACCGGTCCTTTTGGTTTGGGGGACGAGTGGTGGGGGGAAGATGACGCTGAGGTCACTGGTGTCTATAGGGGGTAAACTGATGGCTCAGCAAAGAGTTCTGGGAACACCAAGATCTACGTAAATCGATGTAAGAGTGGACCTGCGAACTCCCCTACTAGGAGCTCCCAGGTCTGTGGTTCACCCACACATCTTCCCCAGCCCTCTCCCTCCAAAGCTGCCCAAACATCCACCACCTGCCCCCCATGCCGTGCCCTCCAAACCCGCCGCAAAAACCACCTGCCCGCATCTCCTTCAGCGCATCCAGCTCGGCCTTCAC